TCAAACTAATATGGAATATTCTCCAGGATAATGACAGCTATATTCAACTCGAAAAGAAAGAAGGTTACAATCATTCAATGCAATGCGCCTACAAATGTCTCAGAACAAGAGAAGAAGGAGGCGTTCTACAGACAACTTCAAAAAATAATGGACGACGTCCCAAATGGTGATATCAAAATCCTGATGGGCGACATGAATGCGAAGCTGGGACGAGACAACACAGGAAGAGAACTCACCACGGGTCGTGACGCCCTCGGTGAAATGAACGACAATGGTGAACTCTTCTCAGACTTCTGCGCCTTCAATGATTTGGTGATTGCTGGCAGTGTGTTCAAACACAAGGATATACACAAGACGACATGGATTTCACCAGATGGAAACACCAAAAACCAGATAGACTTCCTTTCAATCTTAAGAAAGTGGAAAGGGAGCCTCCTGGACACAAGGTCAAGGAGAGGAGCAGATGTAGGTTCAAACCACTATCTAGCACAAGAGACTTTCAAGTTGAAACTAAAAGCCTCGAGGATAGCTGGGAATAGGCCACAATGCAAGTTCAACACTCAATTACTGAAGGACACAACCACAAAAGACACCTTCACTGCAACTGTCAGAGCAAAGCAGGAAACACTACGTGACATTACTGAAGAACCATGCTTGGAAGAACATTGGAAGTCTCTGAAGGCGATTCTCAACGAAACGTGTTCAACGGTTCTAGGAAGAAAGAAGAGACAAGACAAGGAATGGCTCTCAACGGACACTTGGAAATTAATAGAAGAGAGGAGAATGCTGAAAGAGAAAATGATTCAATGCAAGGACGGACAGGAGAAGGAGACGATGAGCTCAACTTACAAAGCATCGGACAAAGAAGTGAAGAAAAGTGCTAGGAAGGACAAAAGACGATTCTACGACAATCTAGCTACTGAAGCTGAGAAGGCAGCAGGCAAAAGGGACCTGAGGACACTATATCAGATAACCAAATCTCTATTCGGGAAGAGATCAACACAAGCAAAAACTATAAAAGACAGCCAAGGGAACCCAATTACCAAGGAAGAAAAACAGATTAAACAATGGGCGGACCACTTCAAAGGACTCTTAAACCGACCATCACCTGCAACCCGTATAGAAATACCAACAACAGCGCGCACAAAACTGCAAGTTGACACCAATCCCCCAACGAGAGCTGAAGTCTTGAACGCAGCCAAGCTTCTGAAAGCTGGAAAAGCAGCCGGACCAGATGGAATACTCCCTGAAGCACTAAAAGCGGACCCAGAGACTACAGCGAACATGCTGACTCCATTATTGCAAAAGGTCTGGAAGGAGGGGAAGGCGCCTACTGACTGGAGGAAAGTTTACCTCGTGAAACTACCAAAGAAGGAAGACTCAGTCCTCACTCTGCAAGAACTGGCGAGGAATCATGCTCCTGTTGACGGCAAGTAAAGTCCTGAGTCGCATCATCCTGGAGAGATTAAAGGAAGCACTGGAGACAGAACTCCGACCATAATAATTTAATTTTTTTAATTTTTGATTTACAGCTTGATTCCACACTATATTTTCGGTACAAGTGTGGAATTTTCAGCGTGAATATCGGTAGCCCGAAATTCCCAGGCCGACCATAGATATCAGGTGTGCGTCGGTGTTGGCTCGAACCCCGGACCATTTGCATGGTCGGCGAGAGTCCTAACCACTGTGCCACCGACGCACAAGCTAGATTCAGGAAAGGTAAATCATGTTCTGACCAAATTGCAACTTTACGCATCATCATCACAGAATAAAGCATGGAATGGCAATCGAAGACTTACAAGCGAAAACCGACCGATGAACTGGTCTAAGAAGCAGCCGGCGAAGACATGACTCCAGGTGAAAATAGACAATACGGAGGTTATGAAAATAACCAACCAACAACAACAACAGCAACATCCATCGCCAATCACCATCAACGGGAGGGATTTGAAAGAGGTCACTTCATTCACTTATCTAGGGAGAATTGTCTCAACTACAGGAGGAACGGACGAGGATGTCAAATCAAGCGAGAATCGTAAAGGCAAGAAACGCACACATTCATCAACCTGAAACCAATCTGGAAATCGTCGTCACTCAGCATCAACAACAAAATTCGGATTTTCAATACAAACGTCAAGCAAGCCAGTTCTTTTATATGGAATTCATGACGAACGGGAAGAGCAGCTTGTTCTGCTACACTTGCCACGGCTTCATAATATTTGCTTTTGTCTTCCCTGGTATTCTTCTTTACTCTTTTGTTCAGTGTATTGTACCTTCCATTCAACTCCTGCTCATCGGTGCACTGGAAAATCTTTTGATTCATCATCGTTTTCTCTTCTATTAGTCTCCAAGTGTCCATAGTCAGCCATTGTTTGTCCTCTTTCTTCTTTCTCCCTAGAACCTGCATGCAGATTTGACTCCACGCGGCTTTCAGGTTGTCCCTGACGTCTTCGTTAGTGCTGATTTGTGCCTCGGCTTTGTCCCTTATGTTTGCAATGAAGATGTCTTTTGTAGCCTGGTCCTTCAGCTTCTTAGTGTTGAACTTGCCTTGTGGTCTATCTGCAGCTCCTGTTTCCCTGAAAACTTTTAATTTCATTTCGATTGCCCTTTGTACGAGATGGTGATCTGAGACAACGTCTGCTCTTCTTCTTACTTTTGTGTCCAGTTGGCTGCACCTCCACTTCCTTGAGATTGAGATGAAGCAGATTCGATTTTTGGTTTGCCCATCTGGTGACACCCATGTAGCCTTGTGGATATCTTTGTGTTTGTATACGCTGTCGCCAATCACTACTTCATTGAAGGTACGGAAGTCGGCGAGAGCTTTTCTACCCATGATAAATTCCCTTCCAGTGTTGTCTGGTCCCAGTTTGGCGTTCATGACTCCCATGAATATTTTAATGTCACCAGCTGGAGTATTGCCCATTGTTGCACGTAGTTGTCTGTAGAATTCTTCTTTCTTTTCGAGAACTGCGTTGTGTGTGTGGGTGCAAGGCATTGGTTAACTGACGCATTCCTTCCTTTTGAGTCACATGGATACCTCCACTATACTTTTTGGGTGAAGGTGAACATTTCAATCGCCATGTTTTCTCACCTACCCATGAATATATCCGTCACAACCAGGGATATTGTGGCCACCAATATGAAGAATTCAAATTAGCTCACTTCATACTAAAACCTGAGCTACAGATGTTGTCAAGAAGGAGAACGAATGCTTCGTAATTAAGTCAAACAACTGATACAACACAAATTAATCGAAATGTAACACGTATCAAAGCCCAGCAAGTCAATAGTGAGCTCACCTCTAGACAAGAGCAACGGCCATCCTGTGTTTGGATCACATCGACCTGGCGAACCAACAACAATTTCTTGTTGGTGTGAGAAGTATACGACTGATCATCTCCATTAATCAGCAGCTCAGTGTGCTAAGCATTTATGCCTAGTATTTTGATTACTACTCATGATTTTAGGAAAATCGCGTAGAATGCTCCGAAAAATTTTCGTTTCTAAAGCAATCTGTTATGGAATAATCGCCTGAATGTGTGTAAGCTGCAAATCAACTTGTTGTGTGCGATTCAATTTTGAAATTGCAAATCCGAAGCACCCAAGCGACTTCATTGAAATGATGCTCATAAATTAGCTAATTATAGTTTATGATATCACCTGTTTCTGAGTTCAACATGAAATAGTATTCGCGTTTTCTTGTGAATAGCGTTCAGTTAACCCGTGTTCAGAAGATTTTGTCCCATTTCTGTAGAGATTTCTCTAGCATCATTCAGTTTTCGACAGGAAGCATCCTGTCAACTGCCTACAACTCTTTAATAACAATCCAGAGTGCTGCGAAATGGGGCAGCTTCCTAACCTAGTGACAACATTGAAAATAATCCAACTCTGCACTAACACCGGGGACTGGACGCATGATACGAATCACTACCTAATGTCTTATCAAATTATCACTTAGTTTCAATTATTTTCTCCACGGGGAGAACGCTTAACTTTCAGTAATATTCACAGTAAGACGGAGGTGATAGAGTAACCGGTCAACAATGATTATCACTAATCATCACTATCAAAAGCAGTAGTTTAAAAGGAGTAACCTCATTCACTTCTCTAGGCTTTGTTGTTTCACCTACAGAAGGCAACAAAGATGAAGTTGTCAAACCTGACCAGAGGCAAAGAGGCAAGGCGAGCCTTCATCACTGTGAATACGATTCGAAAATATTCTACACCCCGTGACATAAATAACAAAATTGGGATTATTACCCCTACTGTTAAGTCGATTTTTCTATATGGAACTGAAACTTGTCCCACTCGTCACGAAAAGCATTTCCAACAGGCTCATCCACCTCAAAAATTCGAACATAGGACCTACCGGTTACAAATCAAGCTCGCTAGTATACCATTCAGCCACTGGAACCAACCCAATACAATGACCAGCCAATGCATGAATTCTAATTTCTACCATTTCGTGATTTATCGCGACCACCAACCAATGTCATCGGTGGGAAATCTATCCTCACACTTGACTGTTTGGACCTTACTGTCCACGATTTCTCACTAGAACTCCAGGAAACTCCATCCTGTAGCAAGTCACTAACGAACATACATCTGTTTTATTCGAATACAATCCATCATCTCCAGATATTATTTAAATCTGATGATTTCATTGGCATTCTAAATATCCAATGATTGATTTCGATTTCTACTTTCACCAAAAATCAATATACTACTTTTAGCAGTATTTTATACTGATGCCAGTAAAGCTACTCTGCTGTCTCTTCATCTCACTTCAAGTACTTACTCACTTACCTACTTACGTATTCAAAATGTGTTATTCTATGCAGTAATCTAAATTCTCGATTGGGAGTTTCTATCTGTCAGTCATTTGCCCGCACTTTCTAAAATGGTAATTAATCAAATCAGATTCCAGGTGTCTAGACAGGTTAATCTATATTTAAAGAGTAATGAAAACAGCACATTTTACTCACTTCATTTTATGCAGAATGCTGCGTATTTTATGTTTATTATTGATCGGTGTCGTATCGTGCAACAACGTTAGATCGCCAGGTAAATACCTTTATGAGTTTGTTTGTCAATTTATAAGGTATTAATTTTTTCTTTTAAAGTTCGCTTTGAATATATTGATGCCATCTCTCTGTGAAAGGACAAGTTGTTTTTCACATCACGTATCTGTATTGTCTCTTATGTTCGACGGTATGTGTTACACATACCGAACTACTGCCTTCCTCAACCAGTAGTGTAGGAATGGGTTTGAAAAATAGAACAGTCATTTGCTCGCATTTTCTTCAATCAAAATTTATCAAATCAGATTGCAGATGTGTAGATAGGTTAATCTATAATTAAAGTAATAAGGAAACCAGAATAATTTATTCGTTTGATTTTATGCAGAATGTTACGTCTGTTGTGTTTATTACTGATCGGTGTCGTATCGTGTAACGTCATAGGTCACCAACGTAAGCACTTTTGTGAATTATTTTTCAACATATAATGTTCAAGTGTATTTCATGTTAAGTGATGTTTCCTAATAAACTGTACCTTGGATGTATTGCGAAGATAATTGGATACCTTATTTTAGATGGCACAGTATTCTCAGTATTAATAAGTCTATTTCTGAAGAACGGATGACCAGTTGATTAGACTGTTAGACCACAGTGTTAGCGTACGTATTTCACAGCAGAAGCCACCGACTACCCCAACGAGCAGTGTAGGAATTACGTTAATAGAAAATTAAAAGGAGAAATTCAACAAAGGTTTGACCGTTTATTCGACTGATGTAGACGCATGTAGACTCCTTGTTTGGGATCCTCATTGTGGTGATATTTAATGGTCGGTGAGCATTAGCCACCTGGCTACAACGTATCTAATGGCATTATAATGTACACACTCCTTTTATCGTAGATACTCGGAAATGTCTCATTAATGTTCGTGGAAATATTATTTCTAAAGTATATTTTTGTCAATACAATTTTCAGTATATTTTCTGATTCTGCTGATATTTGTGGATTCTGGAAGATTTGCAAGTCGAAGTAATCCAGTTTTCTGTAAAGTTGCACTTTTATTATTCAAATTATTGAAGTTGATATGTTAAATAACAAATATATTAAGTAGTGAAAATATAAATATGTCTGATGTATTTAATTCAAAATCTCAGCTGTCCGTAAGTATTGTTAACTTTGTTATTTATACAAAGCAGTATGACTCAATAAGCCAGGAGTTAGTAAACTGGAAATTCAGTGTAGTGTGAGAAAAAAGGTGGTTTATCTGTAGACAGATGATTCCGATGCAAAAAGTGATGTTGTGTTTCACGATAGATCCTTATTCTTAATCCTTCAAGAACATCGTGAGCAGAATCATAAAGAATAGTTGATAAATAGAAGGAAACATTTGAAGCATTGATGTGTGCATTCGGTCTGGGTGGATTCACTGAGCTGGTTAGTTTTCTTACGAGGATTTCTTTGTCCTTCAAGGGGACACCTTCAAAGCGAACTACAAAGTGAAGTGACCTTTAGAAATTCTACATGGATCAAATACTTATCTCTCCTTTTCACATTCATTATAATTAATTATTCCAATAGATGCTTTTATCACAGTATCAACTTGTGGAGTAATCGATTCTGTCACCAACCTCCTATTTCACCTTCAATTTTTTATACCGGTTTTTATTAATCAGTATATTTTATCTAGATCCTGTTGTGTAACAACTGCTAGTTGGTTTGGGTACTACACTTTTAGGAATTGTCGAATGTTCTTTGTCTTTACTCTGTCTAAGATTTTTACCCTATCCCAGTTGTACTGATATCTGTAGTTGCGTGTGTGGACTTGTATAAATAAATACATGTTATGGATTTTAGTAGATAACATGTACTACTGTGTTTTATGCCACCTGTTAAATACACGAACATATGGTGGCATCATACAATATCTAGTAAATTCACCATTGGTAAAAATGAGTGGCATGAGAAGCTCGATATGCATTGATCAATAATAAAGTCATGATGTCTAGAAAATTTAATGCTGTTCTTATTGTACGAAATCTCCCCATATTGAGTGATAAGAAAAAGACGTGGACAGCGATGAAAATTTTCCTGTCGACGGTTCATTTTCATAAGCTGTACAGCCGTAATTATATTTATTAAATTGTTCATAAAACCAATCAGCTCGTGGTCAGTAAAATTTGTCCTCGAAAAATGTTTTACATGTAATGTAAGGTGTAGTCTAGCGAGGTTAACTAAATGTAAATTAGAAAAGTGTCAGAAGTTCGTATGACGTAATAAAGGTGAGAAAATGACTAACCAATATACTAATGGAGATTAGGAAAGTTTTATACTTAAATCAATAAGATTAGGTAAGAGCTGGTTGAAAGACGATAAATCGTTTTTACATAAAGTTTGTATGAAAATTCAGTAATACAATGGTAGTATAATATGAATGATGGACATAATTCTCTAGTCACACTGTACTTAGTTATAGTTATATTCTCTAGCTATTGGGACGGCAAAATTCATAATTGGTGGAATAAATAAACTATTGGAAGAATAAATGGTGTTTCGAAGACGACACAAACAAAGGACCCACTTTTCCAGATGCCAAACAGCTAACCACTAGGACTCTGAGCCATCTGAGTAAACTGTCGCTCAACAGGTATCGGTTATGTTTGTTTAAGTTATCACTGTAAGACTCCTTGTTTGTTTTCAGTCAACTGAATAAGACAGTATTTCAAAATGTCATGAAGACGTATATTTGTCTCTATATAAAACTACCATGTGAACGAAACTAGACAAAAATAAGTGAATGTATACGACATTGTGCTGATTAGTATATTTGACTCGCCGTAAAAGACTTTCCAGGCAAAAGTATAACCTTCGCTGACTGTCTCTTTCTCTGGAATGATTAATTGTATCCTTTACATCGAATAGAATACAAAACGTTGATTTTCCCCTTGTCTTTTCATTTAAGTAGTTCTAGCTCGTAAGTACTAAACTGTCACATGAATATACACTTATTACTCAAGGTTGCTTTTACAAATGTTTATTAATTACACTATGATGTAATTTAAGGTTGTTTAAATAGATACATGTAATCTTATCCTGGTGACACAGTGGTTAGAGCTCTCGCCGACCATGTACATAGTCCAGGGTTCGATCCTTTGCCGACGGAAATCTGATATCAATGATCGGCCCGTAAAATTGGGATGCCGATATCACATGCCAAAAATTCCATACTTGTACCAAAAATACGGTGTAAAATCAAGCTATAATCAAAAAAAATTAAATTAAAAGAGCATTTCAGGAAGACATAACAATCTGTGATTATAGGCAGTATGGTTTGATGAAATTTGTACAGTCTCAATTAACGTGATTACATTGTGAATAGTTATTTTATGTCAGTGTCAATAAAGGTATTTTTCGGCCATTATTCAGGCATATTTGACAAAAAATTTAATGATAACTTATGGAGGTTCATTATTGTTTCGTTGACTGCTCACTCAGACGTGAATTGACAATATTCACATAAATTATTGTGAATACTTCACTGAACTCACAACGGGTACTCTTCACCGATCATCAGACATATGACCGTAGGAATTAATAAAACGACAGTTGCAGAAAAGAAAATTTTCTTCTCGACGAAGTAATCAACTAGGCAACACATTTGTGTATCTGATTTAAATGGGTGAGAATAATTTCCGGTCAAAGGGTAAATTAACAAAATCACAATTAGGTATTAAAATGTCATACTAAACGAGGGGGCACGGATAAAACTCAAACAAAGTAGCATCATAATTACTGAGAAGATCGAAATCTTGTGCAGTTAGGGTTTAGAAATGTAGAAATAACAAAATCGACAGGTTGTTTGGATAGAAAATCTAGTGGAATCATAGCTAATGTGACGAGTTAGAGATTAAATATGTAGAAATAGTAAGATGACAAAATAGACAGGAAGTTCGGATACGAAACTATGGTAGTGTGAATAAGGATTCAGAAAAACTTAAAATAACATGAATAAACAAGAAGTTTGGATAAGAAAGGCAGTATGATGGTCACTATCAGAGGAATTACCTGTTTATGATGGCCATGGCAGGGACAAGCGTTGTACGTATTTCATTTAGATACATAGCGAGGGTGTGAGCTATTGGAAGGTTAGTGACTCAGCTATGACCAGGTGTCTTAATTTTACTCCCTTTGATAGGTTTGACCGAATCTTCAAGGATTGAAGGATTTTTGGAATGGCACTGAATATCTCGAATTGAATAGATGTTCTATCAGTTAACTATATAAACATTTTCGTTCTCCTTTTACTAACCAGGCTGGATAGTGTTCACGAGCACGTTTTTCAAGTTGACGCATGGTACGGCCGATGCAGTCAGCTGCACACGAGCACGTAGAAGTGGCCCAGTGCAACAGCTTGTTTTTTGCGTTCTGGCTGAACAGTTTCTTGCAGGAAAACGTTAATCGTAGGCTCGCGGCGAAGTACGTTTTTCTCAGCGATTTGGATAGGCGTTTCCGACGGATTTCTGCTTTAGTGTCACCTTTGAATTGTAGATTAAGCAGAAGTGTCTTCTTCCAAACAGATTAAACTTGTTCGAAAGTCTTCTATAATTTCAGAGTCTTGTCTATGAAGCTGGATGGATAATCGTTATCCATCAAAGCTTCTCGGAAATTACACAGTTACTCGTCATTTACTTCCTAGCTGAATATCTTCCGAAACCTCAAGGAAAGAGCATATATTAAGTTCCTCCTTCTGCTGGGGGGCTCGAAGCTTTGAAAGCTGATGAACTGCCCATTACATGTAGGATTTTCGTATGTGGAACGTTTTAGTTAGTTGTCGGCGTCTCTTCTGAGATGGATGTCGAGGAAGTGGAATATTCTTTAGAACTCAGCTTCAAGAATAAATTTGATGCTTTAGTGGGCATTGTTGAAGAATCGAAGTAACTTATCAAGGTGCATGTTCTCATAATAGATGATGGAAGTATCATCGGTGTATCTCTTGTAAAGATGGTTGGTGATAGTAGTGCGTTGATTTACACGTAATATTTATACATAAATTTCGGCATTCAAATTCAAGACAAGCAGATCACTTCTATCTGGCTTCCCTTATCTTTACAACTCATTGAACCACATAGTGTGTTATTTAAACTTCTAAATCTTTTCCAAATTCTTATACAAACGTTTAAGCAGCCTCTGCTTCGCTAACGCAGCATAGCCCTGGTGAGTTTTGTACTTCCATGACTAATTACTAAATGCTTAACACAAATTATCTAATCGGTAATTTTATTTATCTGGAAAAAGCTGAATGTTTTTCATAACCTGTTAACAATGCTGTCATCAGAATTAAATCATAAAATGCTTTCTCTTGACCAGCTTCAAAACAATTTTTTTCCTTCTCGTTCCCAGTGGAACATAGGGCTCCAAGCTAGTGGCTTGAAGTTTCTGTAGCAGTGTTTAATTTTTACAGGATGGGGTTGCTTGCCTCATGCCCAACCTTTCCTCTTTACCAGGATTATTTCTGGCTCAGTGAGGTAAAGGAGTGCGCCGGCCGGGGATCGAACCCCGGACCATATGCATGGTCGGCGAGCGTGCTAACCGCTATACAACCGAGCACGGCTTCAAAACAAGAAAAGGAATATTCCCGGGAGACAAAATGTACACATTTCATTGCAAGGCACCTCTTCAAGTACACACGACCGAAGGGATACGTAGGATTAGTGGAATAAGAACACGCACAAAAAGCAAATAAGAATGTGAGGCAATTCTGAAAGTACGATAAATAACATGAAAAGAAATAAGTTACTTGAAATAAGTTTCGTTTCCTAATTACCTTTCACATGAAAACATCGCGCGAGACGCGTCTACTCAAATTTTGTCTGATGTCTCCGCTTATTTTCATTTCCTGTAAATGAGATCTTCCTCTGAAGAATGAATAACAGTTCCACGGAATCAGGCAGAATAGTGGTTGCGTCATTGATCACCAAGTATTAGACGTAAATTTCACGATTGAAATTCTTCTGAAACAAACCATGCATGTTTACACATTTGTGTTTATAGTCAACTTAGCATTATGTGTTATTCTGATCGATTACTTACCTCAGTTGACCAACATGATTTGATTATCCTTTAGGAACAGGATCAAAGACACCAGTTACGAATAACCATGAGTTGATAGTAGTCATCATATTGTATTCGTACTATTCAAATTAATAATGCAATTAAGGCTTAACTTATCTGTCTATGTGCATTATTGTTTTACAAATGCGATTCTTTAAATTCTATTCACCGTCTTCTCACCTCTGGTTGTCCGTTGGCTTTCACGTCGCCTAACTTAACACTGCTTTTAACACATGCAACTGTGGAGTTGTTCACAGAACTAATTGATATACTGCAGTGAGATACGATGTTGGTAAATTTCTGAGCAGACATAAACATTGTACTTTCTCAGGGAAACATTTTTATATGAATTATATTGATTTTTTACCATTGGACTTCATCTACGCACTAAGACTAAGTTACAGGTGTACTCTTTAGATACATACATATTAAATGAATCGTAGTATATGACCTCCGTATATTCTCATATATCCACATGAGTTGGTCAATTTATGGATACTGCAGAGCGTTAGTTTTAATGGCTATATTAAGAGTTTACTATCTAACGGTTTCATCGAAAACCTAACCACTTAATCTTACATAGTGGAAGAAGGATCCCCACTCACCTCTTTTCTGGACACCAAGCGAATGGTCAGACCAACTTCATGGTTACCTAGTAAGTAAGAATCAAACTTCTCTCAAACTGCTGATGCTACGGCAGTCTATTTAAGAAATGGTGAAATATGCAAATTGAAGGTTGTCAACTCACTGCAACTACAGGGTGACCTCTTCCTATATTCATTTACGTTCCCAGTGGAACATAGGGCTTCAAGCTACAGGCTTGAACCTTCTGTAGCAGTGGTAATTATTTTTACATGAAGGAGTTGCTAGACCCACTTGGCAAAACCTTCCCTTAGCGAGGTGAAGGAATGAGGCGCCGGGGGTCGAACCTCAGACCATGTGAATAATCGGCGAGCGTTTTAACCGCTGTGACATCGAAGCCACAAGGAGACCAAATTTGTCAATTTATATGATGTCAAATTTTGTAATTTTCAGTTATTTAATTCAATGATTGATTTCATTGCATTATTTTACATTTCTACCGCGCATTACACTAGTATGAACTGGTCACTCTTTCAGCGTGAGATGAGTTCGACAAAATCGTGTTAATTATGTTATATCACTCAAATTATCAACTTAACTATAGTTTCTATTCAATTATAGCCTTCTCCACTAAGTAGTTGATGTTTATAATCTAAAATTTCAGTGACACATCTTGGCAAATATTTTTTTCGTCTCACTGAAAATGTATCTTGCGTATACATACGAATGTAGAGGCTGACTATGATGTCCCTGGAATGCGTATTTCTTCCTTGAACACACATTCTCTTATATGATTTCATGTCGGATTTCTGAGCTCCTTGAATTCAGTTATTTAAGTTATACTCTACGAAAAAAAATGATGTGATTACCCGCTTGATATTCTAATGAAAGCAATATGTCATTGTAATCACACAGTTTGAAAGTACTAGACGCTAATTTCTCCATTAAAATTCTGCACAAATAAGTCAGGGATGTTTATGCACTTATATTTACCTCATAATCACCATTATGAACGTTTCGAATCCCATGGTGCGCGCATTTTATCATGACGTTTTAATTATCATTTAGGAAAAGACTCAGGAACACAAACTGCGGGCAATAGTGAGTTCGTCGTAGCTATCACATTTTATGTGTACCGATTAATTGATTAAATATTAATGCAATCAATTTCACACTTTTGTTTATTTGGAATGTTGGTTTATAATCGGCGTTCCTGTTCCACTCTTCCGATTTTATGAGATTGGTAGAAGAGTGATTCAGGAACGCTTATGATATTAATAGTTGTAGAGTAGTAGAATTGTCAGCGTCGCTACGATAACCAACCCCGTCCCGACCAAGCCTAACGGAATCCAATGATCACTCCATCAAATCTGCCATCCAAATAGATGAACAAGAAATAATGATATCCTTCGACATCACAGCATTATATACCTCAATCGGACAAAAGCTAGCAAACGAAACAATGGAGCAGTTACTTAGCAACGACGAACACCTCCCACAACAATCAAAAATGGAACACACAAGCTGGATGGAATGTATAAACCTATACCTAATAACATACTTCCAATTCAATGGCCAAATATATGAACAAGTCAAAGGAACACCCATGGGATCGCCTATATCAAGTTGGATCGCAGAAGCAGTGATGCACAGACTGGAAAATATAGTTCTACCAAAGATCAAACCCAAGATCTCGATACTTTGCGTAGACGACACATTTGTAATAATCAGAAGAAACGAGATAGATAAAACTCACAACTTAATAAACAACGTCTTCAACGACATCAAATTCACAAGAGAAGAGGAATCCAAGAAAAAATCCTATTTTTAGACGTCTTAGTCTAGCGAACAACCACAGGGATGTTAGAAACCCAAGCTTATAGAAAATACTGAATACTGAATTACAACAGCTATAATCCAATAACGCACAAAAGGAATTGAATACATACACTATTCAAGAAAGCCAGCCAGGACTCTTTGTAGCATTCACACCTTAAGGAAAATTGAAGAATAATATCTCATGGACGTCTGTCTTCCAAAACAATGGATTTCCACGGAATTTCATCAAAAGACATATACCCCTAAGTCTATCTATCAAACCAACAGCCTCAAAGGAAAGCACAAAGAAAATCGTCTTACCATATATAAAGGATGTTCCAGAAATCACTACAAGACTCTTCAAACCTTTAGGAATTCACATCGTACACAAAGCAACAAAGTCACTTCAGTCAATTCTTTGTCAACCAAAAGACTCAACAGAGAAAGAAGATAAAACCAACATCATCTACAAAATAAATTGTAACAACTGCGAAAAACACTACATCGGCCAAAGTGGACAACGTCCCCTTCGTCTTCGTATCCACGAACATAAGCTGGCTGTCAAAAGGTATGATATCCACTCCCTCGCTCATATCACTACATACAGACAACCACGGACATCAATTCGACTGGGACAACGTTCAAATATTAGACAGAGGAAACAACAAGAATGCTATAGAATTCTTAGAAGCTCGGCATTCCACTTAATCATCAATCAGTAGACACATCGAGATAGACAAAATTTATCAAACGATAAGAAAGAGACCTCACACACAAAGGGTCAAAGTTCAAGTCAAAGAAACATTTCGTCTAAATACAACAAGCCTAGATGGTGTGAAAACGCACAAAAGCAACCAATCACGTCCAAGGTCACCAGGAGAGATGATTAATAAATTCGTGCAGAAATCTAAAAGCTCACTTCGTGAAATTGAAGTATGAGCTGAAGATGTCACCTAGTAGGGCGACAAAAGCTTCGCAAATTAACGATCCAGCTCAGAGAACATAACCTTAATGAAAATATTTTCTGAATTCCCTTCTTCTGTCCTGAGAAATACTTTGCTTCCTTTTTCCGAAAATTTTTTCATGCTTTCTCCAGTTTTAAACATCGGTTGTTCATCGTTACCTCGTCATGGTTATTACTCATCTTGACAAAAACCTAAACGTGGTTTTCAGAAATGATTATGATACGCTTACTGCATTTGACCAAGATATTTTAAATATCATTTAGCGGAAGGGGCAGGGACGCAAGCTGTGGATACAAGTGAGTTCATAGTGACCATCCTACTTCGTGTGTACCGATTAATTGATCAATGATTAATTAACAATGCAATCAGTATTACACTTTTGTTTATTTTCAACGTTGATTTTAATCCGGATCCTATGACACTCGTTTAAATTTTGCTCTCTATCTGTGTCACATCTAACCTCTGTCTGTCTTCTGATTTTATGAGATTAGTCGAAGAGTGATTCAGCAATGCTTATTATGATAATAATTGTACATTACTTACCAAAAGTAATAGGTAAGCTAGAAGAAGACTGATAATTGCTAATTTGCTGAACCCATAGACAAACTACACCTTCTTAGACAAACTCCTCCATTTACGTCAGGGATTAATGCAATAATGTATTATATTCACCTATCAAAGTACTCTATGAATAGTATTAATTGCTATTACTTTCAAGGCGTTGCCTTACACATTATTTCAATCAGATTTTCACAGATCCTTGAGCCATATATGCCATTGATCTGTCCTTATACATTGTCTCAAATCAAGGAAACTTAACCCTTGGTATGGGGCATCAGAGAATTATAATTTTGCTATTCACATCACTTGTCAGAAAGTGAAATTTAGATGTGTGTCTTCTGTCCTTCTGGTAATTTTCGCAGATCAGTAGTATGACACTCTAATGAAGCTTAAATTTTTCTTTAGCTACACGCCTCGAAATCAATCGGTGAATGTTTCACCATTCAAATTATTCACAAATAAGTCACATTTAATGATGCAGTTGAAAAGAACAATATTTTGTTTACATTTAAGACCTCCAACATCTGTCATAATTTCTTATAAATAATATTTTGTGAAGGTCAATCAGCGAAACCAAGTGCGGCTAAGGGTGAGTTACATCTGGAAATAGATGCAATTCTATTCCATTTCAAATAATTTATAATGAATCAGTCTTACTTGGTATTCAGATTATTCCAGGAAATCTACAACATCTACGGTCTGAAAACTTATGATCTATTCAATTTTGTTGCATCCACTGCCATCCATCAACCTATACGCAACCTATTCAGATACTCAGTAACTGTTACGAATCTCATGTGACATGTGATAACAATCAGTCGATTATTTCAACTCACTTATTTGAATTGTTATACACCTTCTTTATTAAATTATTACGCAATCTCACTCCTGTAGATTTCTGGTTAATAAAAGTCTTTAGTCGTCAGCAAAATTCCAAATCTTGTCAAACTATCTACTAAACTTAATAAAACTGGCTAATTTCTCATCGTGGAATGGAACGAAAATCCATCAGGATATCATAAAGAAAAGCTTAGCAGGCGGAAATATGTCTTCTAATTATTAGTGAAATCGTTCTACGCATGTTTTACACTGTCTTCTATGAAACGTATTATTTCAAAATTATTCTTTCCGTTCTTAACAAATTTCTTCTAATCATCTTTTAGCTACCAGTGCAGCGAAAGTGGTGAAGACACCTGGTAAGTTATCAGATTGTGTGCCTGAAAGAATAAGAATGTGAAAATAGTACTAACTAAGCTGGTGATGTTATGATGGGAAAGAAAACACGCTGAAGCTTACGGTTATCATATGGTATTCAGTATGTAATCATTCGAATAGGAATCAGTTAACCAGACTTGTGTGGTTATATTTTTAATTTTTAACGTTTTGATTGTTATTTTTGTGATATTATTAAAGTGAAATACGATGACACAGCATAAGTTCTTATCGGGGAAATATTAAGTACTATAGAAAACTTTTAAGTACTTCCATAAACGACTAAATGACGATTTGATTGACTCATTTTGTCATGAAGGAAGCCACAAGCAAAAAGTGGAAAAGGCTACTGATGAGTCATCTTTTTGTATACTCGGATGATGAGATTATGAAACAGGCAGTAATCTGTGCGTAATTCAATGCGCATTCGCAAATCATAGAGTATTCAGCATACAAGTATGTGAATCGAATCTGTTCACCAAATCAATTAAGGACATGTCATAGTTGGTTTTCAAGTACAATTTTTTCTGCCTATTCGTCGAATGATGTTTACAATACTGCCTGAGAATACTTATTCGTAGTTGATTCGTGGTTGAGGAGTGTCTTCTTCTAGGTATTTCCTAGACGTTGATGTCTCCCCATGCAGATCGTCTCCACACACCATTAGAAATATCCTCACAGATTATGTTTAGTTTAATAGATTCTATCGCAGATGAGTGCATATGCACGCCTTCAGACATGTTCAAACATATTAGCATGCAGAAACCAAATGAAATATTACTCAAAGCCATTTAAAAACTATTGAATAATCAATAAATTTCGTATTCGTGCACTCCTTTGCAATTTAATTCAAAGTTGATTCTTTTAATCACTTGGAAACAGCTCCACCAGGTAGGTGACTGTTATTCATACAATGTCATAAATATTCATTTCGTCTGTGTAAATATCACATGTAAAAATCAGGAAAACCTAATTTTGAGGGATTCTTTTTAATGTTTTCGTTACAAGTCAGTCGTATCTGAGTGAAATGCAGCGTCAAGGTGCATTCATAATGATACAAGGAGATAGATACATCACCATAAAGAATGAATACAATGTGAACCTCAAGACTTTCGTATTAACTATCTTTATGCTGATCCAATACATTCGTAGACGGTCCCTTGAATAAAGTGCCGTAATGTATAGATAAGCAATACAAACCTTGTCGGCAATGGATGATTTCAATGAACACTGTTCATATTACTTACCCTAACGTATGGCCTATGAAAGCTGAATGAATGATGTTCAGCTACCACGATAATCATGTCTGAATTGATTTTGTACATGTACTAATGCATATATTGAATAACACTGTTACTTTTATTTTGTATGACTGCTAATTAATACTTCAATGTATATTTCAGTGAGAGGACCTGAACTAAATTTGAGGCCAGGTAAAGTTTGTGATTTGTAATATTCACACAATACAACTGAAACTGAATCATGGATGCTCTATTGGCTAGTTGTGTGTTTACTTAACTGATATAAATGTGAAAGTGAAAACACTGTTCACAGGAGTCATTTCGTATTCACACCCGTTTAGAAACATAGTCTCTTTCAATTCACTGCTTGTCATCAACGCCTGTAAACTATCAATACCACAGAATATCATATAACTAGAAAAAGCAAACTTTCGGGTGCAGCCATTGGATAATTTTTTTTGATTTTTGATTTACAGCTTGATTCCACACTGTATTTTCGGTACAAGTATGGAATTTTCAGCATGGATATCGGTAGCCCAAATTTTGCAGGCCGACCATAGATATCAGGTGTGCGCCGGCATGGGCTCGAACCCCGAACCATGTGCATGGTCGGCGAGGGTTCTAACCATTGTGCCACCGACGCGAAATTTATATTCAGAACGCCTTTTGATTCAATCTCTTGTGTATTCAAATGAGAACATTTCCTTGAGTCGATCACTTGAAGATGTGTGTCAAGGTTCGCAATTAACGAGATGAAATTTGACATTAGTCTGTGTCTGGAAGAAAAAATTATTGTTCGCTCGGCATCACGACAACTAGGTTTTGCCTCAAGTACGGGTAACACTAGCCAATACCTTCACAATATTACATTTTCATTCCTATTCGCTGAACTTTATAATAATTCACGTCTCTTTTGATACTATCATAATCTCTGAGCTGGATAGTTGATTTATGAAGCCTTCATCGCTCTACTAGGCAACATCTTCAGCGCATGCTTCAATTTAAAGTGAGCTTTTAGATTTCTCTATGAGTTTATTAGTCTGGTGACTCTCCTGGTGACTATCCAGATCATAGAACATAACCATATCATAATCATCCACCTGGGCTATAAAAATCTTCTTAATCATAATTCAGGTCTTGTAGTGATTAAAGAATATTTCTCCACTTCACAAATAGCCAACCAAATGTGTAAACATTTGAAATAATCGCGCCAAGTTCAAACTTCTCACCTATTCGATAAATCAATAATTCTAGGTAACATAGGTAAAGAAAAAGCTGTTCCATCTTCTTAAGTTTCGATCAGCAAGCAGTGAACGTAAAAACGGACAGTGTCATAGAAACACGTTTCCTTAACGATGTCATCCGCTTGAGGTAGGCCTTACATTTGAAGTCTGTTATATGGTACACGAAGAGCTCACAAATGATGTTCAAACGAATAATTTGATTAGATGTCTAAAACCTGTTCCTTATAAGTTGATATAGTTCATTATTTGTTGCTTTCTGATCATATTCAACTGGATATTTTAGATCCATTGCGTAAGTTTTCAGTTCTGCTTACCTTCACTAGTAGTTTCATCGGTGAATTATTCAATACTGCATGATTGAAACTTTGTTGATAGTGTGTGAAACAGCCTATCATCAACTTCCTCATTCAAGAAGATCTAACTTCACTATTGACCTGTTAAAATGAATTCTTACAATCGATGTGTGTAACCGTTTCTAATTATATCTGAAGCATATTGCTATTATTATGACACTATTATTCCTTTTGGGTTCCGAGTGGAACATAGAGCTTCAGCGAAACATCTCAACTTTCTTCTATTCTCTGCTGTCCTCTCCAGCTGGCTAGGACCACGACTGTTCATAAAATCTATTCTCATCCTTGCCACACGATCTCCTGCATGTCACTCTCACACTGACGACCCACTCGTCACTTCACATTTGGGTTAAACTTGAGCAGTGTACTGTACTGCGCCCGATTTCATTCGACGGCCTTGCCAGGGGCGTATACCCGATCCATCTGCATTCTCGCCTAAATATTTGTTGAACAATCGACTCTTAGTTGGTTTGTTCCCAGTCAGAGCTTCTTGTTGCTAATTCTATCACTACGGAACCAGCTAATGTGATCGCTGTTAATGAAAGTCCACTACCTTTCGGAAATCATTTTCGTGACACGCAGGGCAAGTTTCTGACCCATACAGAAGAATCGACTTCACATTTGTAATCGAAATCCGAATCTTGTTCATGATAGTGGCTGAGTTCGTGAAGAAGTTTTCCGTACTCGTTTCAGGTTGATGAAGGCATATCTCGCTTTTCTGATTCTGATTAGCCAGATGTGACAGCTTCATCCGTGGTGTTGCCTTTAGTTGAGATGATGATTCATAGATAATTGAAGGAATTAATCCCTGTCAAATATCTCTCATCGATGGTGATTTGTACTCATCGTTTTTGTTGATGCAGTTTGTTGGTAATCTTTATCACCTCCGTCTACCCTGTGTTCACCTGCAGTCATGTTTTCGTTGCTAGCCTCTTCATCCAGTTTGCCGTCTATCCCCTGCCTGCAATTCTTCGAGTTTACGTGGCATGAGGTATATATTATCTGCGAAATCCAGATCTTCTAGAGTCTTCTCGTCGATGGTACAGCGTATTCTCGTCTCTCCACTCCTCACAGTCTGACGCATAATCAAGTTGACCACAATTAAGAATATCATCGTGGGTGATAACAGGCAGCCAGTCAGTCTTGTCTTACTCCGGTATGTACTTTAAACGCCTTGCTGAGTTCTCTGTTGTGGATCACCTGATATGTGCCAATGTCATACAGTCAGCTACTGAATTAGGTTGATAGAGACTTGGGCTCTGCATGCTGTAGTGTTGAAGTGGTTTCCAAATTACTTCACAGTCAACGCTCTCTGTCGAAGGCCTATTCGAAATCGATGCAACTGAGGTTGAGGTTTGATCAGCACATGATTTGCCTGTCCTTATTTCCACCTTGTTCTAATCCATGGGGCGGAGTTCTGTCTCCAGTTCATCTTTTATACTCTCCAGGATGACACGACTTAGTATTTCACCTGGCTTGGACAGAAGGATTTCCCTCCCCCCCAGTTCTTGCAGAGTGAGGTGTAAGTCGCATTTCTTTGACAGCTTAATGAGGTGGTCTTTCTTGCAATCGATAGCCTGATCGCATTCAGAATTTCTACTTTCATTATAAGATTAGTGTATACTGAGGGTTCTGTGCGTGCTGTTTGTGTTCATGTTATTTCTAAGCGAGTTGCAGGTGATGATCGATTCAAGAGTACTTTAAAGCGGAAAGAAACTACAAATTGTTTGAACTAATCTGAGAATAAACGCACTACCTATCGGTATCCTTGTGATGTTCAGTACACTCTGAGTATCAAGCATTTTTTGACCTGATCCATCTTAGGTTACTTTGTTGTATATAGTCGACTTAGCGATGTCAAATTTCACAGTTTTCGTATTCGGTTTGTATAAATGAAACACGATCATATTCGTGGAATAAAATTATTCTGTTGAACTTGGCAGATACTCTGTAACAAAAGATGGTTCAAATAAAAGTGTCTACCAATAAGGATAAAAAAAACATACTTTGAATTTTGAAGCGACGAAACAGAACGTTTGGAGGTTTGAGAGTTCAGAATAGTCAACATCAGAATTTAAAGTGAGTTATGAGCGGCAATTAATATTTCAACAAGGATGAAAGTTTTCCGAAACACATTGTTAATGTGGACATAAATTAATTAACCTCATATCATTACTAATTCCAGAG